ACTGTGGGGACAACCCTCCTACACACCCCTTCACACTCCTTCTTCTCCGTATTTTTAGACAAGAGTTTCCAAGCCAGCTGGGAGCTAACGGAATGCTTCCTCCTGCCTCTTGCCTGGCAGCCTCGTTGTTCATTTAGGGTGAAATGAAAAACTAGCTACTTAATTACCCTCCACACTCGAAGGAAAGAGAAACCGCACTTCCCCGGAAGGAGGCAGTGTAGTGGTATTTGCTCCGCCCATGACCTTGGGCTGTAGGGGGGGCGGGGACGGGGGCGGGGACAGGGAGGCAAAGGAGGCGGTGCTTCTTGCTCTTGTATGCGACCTCTTAAAAGGAAAAGGAGAAAGGTCACAAGGTCCCTTCTCGCTGTTTCCTGCTTCCTGGTGTGATGGGACGGCTGGGTAGATTCACTCCTGGTCAGATCAGAGGATGACTTCAGCTGTCCACTCGGTTCTGTATTCATGAGTGTATTTCCTCAATTTATTATATCCTAATAAATTCCCTAATACTCCTTAAGCAGACTCCTGTGGCTTTCTCGCTTTAAGGCAGACGGAGGCTTGAACATGTGTGTGGGCACATGTCCATGGTCACCCTTGTGTTTAGCAGCGTCTACATGTGGGAGGCAGAAGTGGTGGCGGGAAGCTGGCATGTACTGAGCAGGTGAGCAGTATCCAGGTCTATCCACACTGGTTCCCCACCCATGTTTTCCCTCCTCACCACCCACCCTCTGTGAGGAAGCCAGCATTTTGCTCATGGCCTCCAGGGCCTTGCTTCAGCCAGGCAAAACCAGAAAGAGCCAGGAAATCTCTGTTTCCGTGTTGTAAGAGCCTGAACCTTTAGGGAACAGGTGTTCTCTGGACACTTTGACAAGTGTCCTGGCTGACGGAACTCCTAACCCACTCCTTGGAGGTTGGCGGAGAAACCCCACTTCCACTCTGCTAAGGGCTGGAAAACAGTAAGGCAGGAGACAGCAGAGCCGACCCATTTTTATCAGCCCCTCTGAGCGAAGATGCCCAAGCAAATGAAACCAAGAACAGCGCATGAAGCGTCCCTATGTCCAGTATGACCCAGAAACAACAGGAAGTGTATGAGAAGCCCCAGCGAGGTGATCCGGAAGCTGGTACTCAGAGGGGAGATGCCAGCTGCCCCATCTCTCTCCTAGTGCTTCGTTCTGCCTAAGGACCCAGAGTCACAACTACTTGTGGGTAGAGATCCCTAAAGAAAGAAGTCTCGATGTCTACCCTCAAGCTCTATGAGACCAGGTTCAGAAGCAAAAAGGACCCAGAATCACAACTACTTGTGAGTAGAGACCCCTAAAGAAAGAAGTTGATGTCTACCCTCAAGCTCTATGAGACCAGGTTCAGAAGCAAAACCTCAATTTTGTAGTAAAAAAGAAAAGCCATAACTTCAGGTAACATGCCTTACACATTATCACCTGTGGCCTTAATGCATTTTCACACACTCCTCCCAGACCTCGCTTAACCATCCTGTCTGAAAGAGCCTTGGCCCTCCATTTCCATCCTTCCCTCGGAGTGTTCATCACCGTCTAACAGCACACCGCATAGTCAGTGTTTAGTCTTTGCCCTGAGGAGGCTGCTTTGTCCACATTTGGACCTATGCCTCGTGGAGAACCCGGCAGTTGCAATATTGAACTACTGAATGCTTGAGCACATTGAGTGCTCAATGGCGACACCTGCTGGCAAGCAGAATATTGCCATTCAGCTCTATTAAACATTGTCCTGCTAAGCCAAAAGGCTGGCGGAGGACTTTTCTAGGTACTATAAGTGATGGGGTTTGGAAACGCCAGGCAATGGGAAGGGGGTGGTGGTGGTGTTGGACAGGAAATACAGACTGAAGTGCGGGCTTATAGATGAGGTAGACTAGGAGAGAATGTGATACGGTAAGTCTAGTAAAGGACAGAAGGACGTAGTTGACACCTTGGCTCCCAATAGAGCAACCAAGTCTCAAACTTTGCTTGGCAATTACTCTTTTTTTTAATTTAGACTATGGATATGCATATATGTCTGTGAGGGTTTGTGTATGTGAGTGCACGTGCCCTCAGAAGCCAGAGGTGGCAGATCCCCTGGAGCTGAAGTTACAGGAGATTATGAGTCTCCCAGTGTGGGTGTCAGAAACTGAACTCAGTCCTCTGCAAGAGCAGCATGTAGCAGGAATCTTAAAAGTTCTTATTAATAAAATCAAACCTGAGGCCAGTTATTGGGGTGAATGTTGGAAGATCAGAGAAGCAGAACAAGCCACAGCTACCTCACCTCGCCAGTTCCTCAGCTGATCTTGTTTCCTCAGACTGGAAGCTTCTGTGTCCTCATCCCAATGGCTCTCAGCTGAGCTGCTGCTGGAAAGCCTGAATGCTTAACCAGCCAAATGCTTCTAGTTCCTGGTCTTGACGCCTTATATTTCTTTCTGTTTTTGCCATCACTCCCTAGGATTAAAGGCTCACTTCTTGGGATTAAAGGTGTGTGTCACCACGCCTGGCTGTTTCCAATGTGGCCTTGAACTCACAGAGATCCAGAGGGATTTCTACCTCTGGAATGCTAGGATTAAAGGTGTGAGTGCCATCATTTTCTAGCCTTTGTATCTAGTGGCTGTTCTGTCTCTGATCCAAGATAAGTTTATTAGGGTGCACAATATTTTGGGGAACACAATACCACCACAGCAGCAAGCACTCTTAACCACTGAGCCATCTCTCAGCTTCCCCCCCACCCCGCCCCATTCACTCTTCTTACATTTAATTTTCCTGGTCTTATTATTTCAGGTCATTCCTCTCAATAAAGTCAGTTGGGGACAGATATGATGAAGAGAGAAGGGGGCTGCAGGGAAAGCCAGGCCCACTCCAGCACACTCAGGATGAAGGAAGGGGCCAGGAGAGGATGCTTTGTCCTGACTTTCTCCATCATTTACAGACACTTTGAGGTTGGCCAAGTGATTCCCATTTATTTCCTTACTGCGTTTGCCCAGGCCCTTATGAGCAGTAATTCATAAGCGCCACAGTATCCATAAAGGAAACCAATAAGATAAGGAAACCGAGCCCAGTGAGGGAAGTGTCTTGACTCCCCCCCAGAGAATCCCGACAGGACCAAGATTCACACCCAAGTCTTCTCTGACCTTCATCCACTGGTGCTTTTGTTCAGTGGTCTTAGCCACAGAGGATTGAAATTTCCTCTGTGGATGTGAGGCATACAGCTTGAAAACAAACTGTAGACCAAAGCAGAGCCTCTAAACACTAGGATTCTAAGGACCTAGTGGTGGAGAATGTACCCCACCCCCAGACAGACAGACAGACACATACACACACACACACACACACACACACACACACACACACACAAGCATTACCATAGTTACTGCTAGTATTAATCCATTTTCTGTCACTGGGTACTTTATAAAGAAAGGGGGGTTATTTAGCTAATAATTTAGACATTGCATATCCAGGTTGGACAACCTTGTCTGTTTGACCTCTAGCAAGGGCCCCCTTGGTGGTATCACAACATGGTAAGGAAGTAAGAGCCACATGCAGAAAAGGCCATACACATGGGGGTGTCTTTGCTCTTCTTATAAACCCCATTTTCACAGGAACTAACTCCATGGGACCAGCACTAATCCCTTCGAAGGGCAATGTGCCCAGTGGCTTAATTACCTTGGGGCCTCTTCCAGCCCCTCTCTATGTGGGCACTCGGAAGAGCAGGGCTCCAGCCCATGACCCTGCGGTGAGGGACACACTTCCACAAGCCATCTACAAAGCTTAGCACCTTTCCAGTGTGGTTACCACTTTATTCTTAGAACTTTGATGTTCTCCAGGAGGAGTCAGAAACCCAAGACCTCCCTATCAGGTGCCCACATCCTGGTCTTTTTAACAGGAAACCTCTGAGTGCACCCCTGGGAATGTTTGCCCCAATTCATTATCAAATTGCTTGCAATTATCAAACTGTGCTCCCTTGAGTTGACCTTTAGCTGGGGAACAGCTATATTTAGAGAGGAACCAGCCCTTTGTGATTACCCCACTCCGATTACTTAAAGGTCGGCCGCAGATGTGACAGTTTGATCCGTGGAAAGGGCTGATTCCAGGATCTCCAGGTAATTATCCAAACCAGACAATAATTAGCAAATATTTTCTACAAATGAATCCATCCCCATTGCTCGGCCCCGGAAGGGAGCCCAGAGGCTCACTGGGCTACATGCCCACGCCTGTGGGACAACAGTCCTTTCATACATATCTCTTCACACTCTATCAGGAGCTTCATACGGAATCTTGCTTCACTTGTGCCTCACACCAGCATCGTAAAACATGGATTCCCACTTTACAGATGAGGAGACTGAGGCTCTGAGAGGTTCAGTAGAGCTGCCCAGAGTCAGTGTTGACTCCGGACTTTGGCCGTACCTCCGGACTTCACACCTTTTCCTCTTTCCTGTGAAAATCACTCATTCTGTCAACTATTTGAGTGTCTACTACGCGCCTGGACGTGTAGTCAACTGCAGGAAGAAAGGAAGGGTCTAGCAATGTCCTTGGTGTGCAAACACCTTGGGAGAGGGAGTGGGAGACACATGGGTCTCGTGTGACACGTGTGAAGATGCTTCTCGAGTGACAATCCCTCAACTCCAAGGCAGAGCTTCAGACATCAGAAGTTAAGAGACACTGAAGGAGGAGTCTGGACGGACGGGGGGTGGGGGGGGGTGGGGAGGAGAAAGCACATCAAACGTGATCTGCCAGCGTTCTCAGCACAGCTCAAGTGACGAAGGAGTGAATGAAATGGCACGTCACTTGAGCCCCCGTGAACAGGGATTGAGGATGTAACCTACATGGAGTTCTGAGAAGGGCAGTGTGGTGGGTGTGGGTGTGGAGGGGACAACCACATTGAGCACCACTTTCCTGTGGCCCAGAAGTCCCATTTATACCTAGTTTATATATTCATCTTCCATTCAGTAAAGGAGTCCATTGTTTTAAATATATATACAGAAATATATAAACTTCATAAACTTCTTCAGGTTTGAGGTATGTATAAAGTATTGTGTGACTTGACTTTACAATTTCTTATTAAAAGTGAAAAAAATAAAGTCATCAATTATATCTTTTTTTAAATTTCCTCTCAACTGACTGGCCAGCCACCAGATCCTAATGAGAGGAAATGATAATTTAAATACTAGTGCTAATATCAATGATTAATAGCTTCATAGAGGATGTCAGAGATTCTTCAGAAAAATGTGAGTCTCTGTGTTGTCCCCACAACTCCGTGAGCAGGCGCTGTGGGGATCATCTCTCCAGGTGACATCCCCAGGGATCCTGCTGTTCTCAGAGGCAGGTCACACCAAGTCATTCACTTAGGACAAGACACGGACAGAAGAGTGGGTCCACAGGTCAGAGACAGTTCAACTCCAGTGGGGATCCACAGGTGAGAGAGAATGGTGGACCTCAGGAATAGATCAGGAAGTGCTGAGCTGCTTCTAATGCAGAGAGAGAGAGAGAGAGAGAGAGAGAGAGAGAGGCAATTTTAATAAACTCTTAAGATAAACTCTATAAAGACATTATGTAACTCTTTAGGGAAGATACTTATCCAACATTTCAGAAGCACTCATTTATCTACAGACAATATTTATTTTTTCACTTATTGTATCAATCTCTATCATTCTATTCATTAGTGTGAGTCCCTGAAGACCCACCCTGGCTGCATGCCTTCCGAGAGCTGGTGTTCATTCACCGCCTCTCAGTGTCAGGCACCAGGCTGGGGTTTGAGATTGCAGTAGGGTAAGAAAAGCAGAGGATGCAGGCTCCAGATGAGTACAGCTCAGTAGCACAGCTACTGGCCCTGTGTAGATTTACCTGTGTGTGTGCATGAGTGTGTGCATGTGCGCATGTGTACATGTGTACATGTGTAAATGTGTGTGTGTGTGTGTGTGTGTCAGTGTGTGTGTCCATATGGGTATTTTGTCAGTGTGTTTGTGGGTGTGGGGGGGAGGGGGTGTATGTGCATGCATGTGGCTCTGTGTGTGTGTATATGTGTGTACATGTGTGCATGTGTGTGTGCATGTGGCCCTGTGTGTGTGTGTGTGCATGTGTATGTGTGTGCATGTGTATGTGTGTGCATGTGCTTGTGTCTGTGCCTGTGGAGTGCAGAAGTCTACATGGGGTGGCTTCTTTTATCACAACAACTGATTTATTAATTTTTTTTTTCTTGAGACAGGGCCATCCACTGAGCTGGGAGCTGACTAATTCAGTGAGACTAGCTGGCCAGAGATCCCCACGGAACCACCTGAGGCTGCCTCCCCAGGGCTAGGATTACAGCTTGCACCAGCACTGCCCGCTTTTTACGTGGCTTCTGGAGATCCACTGAGGTCCCTGTGCTTTGGGGGCAGACGCTTCAACTGACGGAGCCTCCTCTCCAGCTGTTAGAGTTACTTTAGTTCATTAAAATGAGATGAAGTTTCAAACTTAGTTCCTGTCACAGAAGGCACATTTGACCTACCCCACTTCCGGACGGTACCATGTCCTGAACAAGATGGTAAAAATTCAGGACCTTGTGGCTGCCAAACCCTCAAGGGGAAGGCGCTTGTGGAGGAAGCAACGTCTCTTCAGGGGAGGAGCTAAGTCTGAGGTCACCACAGGCCAGTCAGGGCTGGAGAATGTGGCTAGCTTCTAAAATAGTTCTAGGGTTTTGATCAGTTTATAAAGCAACTCAGCCTAGATTAGTCTGAATGAGTGAAGAGGGACTGTTTTTAAATTTATATAAACATCAAGAATTTGATTTAAAAAGAAAGAGACTTCCTAGGTGGTTCACCCTATGGGTACAGGCAAATGGTGATGAGCAGAGATCCTGTCCCTGAATGCAAGGGCACATGGATATGCATAAATGCACACACTCCTGGAAATACCAGCTCACACTCATCCAGCAACATACTCAGCCATGCATCTCTTACACACATGGGATTATACATGTGCTTGCATGCACACACACACACACACACACACACACACACACACACACACACAGAATGGTTCACACAGATGCATCCTGCCTCTCTCTGGGATTGTCACGCATGATTGAGTTGCTGTGGCTTCTTGCTATCCTGATAGAATGTGGAAACAGATGGGCCAATTTTTCTTGCATTTCCGAGATTCAAGATAAATGTTTGAGAGCTTTGCAGTAGCCCTGTCCTCGGGATCCATCCATTCATTCACCTCTTAGCCAACATTGTTGGAGGGCCTTGGTGCTGGCAGAAACACAGAGCTGGGGTAGCACGGAGCCACAGAATTCTACCACAAGCATCAGACTCAGCCCCAAGAGGAGGAGGGAGCTGGTTCGTACACTGTAGTCCCTAGCAGAGGCCAAAAGCAGAGGCAGTGACCTCTCCACCCACCATGCCCCTGCAGAGGAAATGTCACCCTAGCAAATCAGGGAGGGGAGAAGGGCTGATGTTTCCAGGTCCAACTAAGTTGAGAAGTTTGGAGATAGACATTGCCTTTGTTTTCTTGTTGCTCTGATAAAAACACTCTGACAAAGGGCTGGAGAGACAGCACATTGATTAAGAGCACTTGTTGCTCTTGTAGAGGAGTGGGGTTCGGTTCTCCGCACCCACACTGGGCAGCACACAGTCACCTGTAATTCCAGCTCCAGGGGATCTGACGCCCTCTGCTGGCCTCCTCAGACACTTTGCATGCACATGTGCATACCCACATCCATACACATACACACAATAATAAGATCTCTGTAAAAAAACATTCTTACAAAAGCAATTCAAAAGAGAAAGGGCTTATGGGGGGGTGTCACAGTTTAAAGGGACAGGCCGTCATGACAGAGAAGTCAAGACAGCAGGGGCTTGAAGGAGCTGGTCATACCACATCCACAATCAAAACTGAATGATGGGTACATGCTGTTTCTCAGCACCTTTTAGGGAATGATGCCATCCACAGTGGACAGGTCTCCCCACGGTAGTAAATTTCTCTTCGAGCCAATTCCAGTCAGCCCTTGCCACTAACACGCTCACCTCCCATTTAAAAAGATCCCTTTACTGTATTCCACAAGCCCCTTCCTAACCTTCAGTTACTGTCTGAATTTTCTCAGTTGTAGCAAAACTCTTCCAAAGAATTTCTTTCCTCGATACCTTCACCACCCCTCAAGGTCAATGATCTTTGAGCCCACCCTAATATGACTTCTGATCAACACCACCCCCGACTCCACAGGGCCGCTCTCCCCAAGTCACCTGTGACCACCACCCTGCCACGTCCAGTCAGCGCCATCCATGCTTTGTCGTAGCAGATCTCCATGTTACACTTTTAGAGTCAGTCAGTCGCTCCAGCCTCCCTCTGACTCTCAAACCCCACCACACAGCAAACGCCAGAATGGCACCGAGGTGTGGGGTTCTTGGATACTCTGTCCGGTGGCTCACGTTTTTGTTTGTACTGCAGTTAGCTTGACACAGCCCAGAATCATTTGAGGGAAAAGCCTCGATCGATCGAGGCATTGCCTAGATCGGACTAGCCCGTGGGCATGTGGGTGTTTGTCTCAATCATTAACTGATGCAGGAGGGCTCAGCCCACTATGGGTGGCACCATCCCTAGACGGGTACTTCTAATCTGTATACGAGAGCTAGCCAAGCTTGGGCTTGAAAGAAAACTTATTTATCAAACAAAGAGAGGGTCCTTCGACGTGGCAGCTGAACTCCCAAGAGAGACAGATTTCTGCCCACCCCTGGCCTCATCTTCCTGACCGTGTGCTCAACCCCAGGCCACATGGGAGTAAGGATGCTTTGGAGCCACTTGGATCTTCTGCCCAGAGCAACCTTTACTTTCTCTGCTTTAAAACCAAAGCAAGGAAGAATGGGGAGAAACTGGGGAGGAAGAGGAGGTGGTGGTGGTGGAGGAGGAGGAGGGGGAGGAGGGAAGAAGCCCAATCCCATGTAAAACACCTAGCAGGGCCTGGCCCACAGTAAGTGTCCGATAAATGATAGCTATTATCATCACTGTTACTATTACGAACTGCCATAGCTCTGCCTGTGGTTGGTCTGCGGGCAGCAGGGAACTGCATGCTGGCCTGCTCCTTGCTCCAGATCACTAACCCGGGCTAAGTGACAGTAATTACTGCTCTGAGGGATACTAGTAACAGTGCCAAGATCCAGGACCGCTACAGCCCGATGAGTCCAGTGGCCCTGGCTCTGCTCCCGCCTGTGAGGCCAAGCGGCGATTAGCACAGCTGATCATGTGGCAAAGCAAGGCGGGAGCAATATGGCAACACTGTGAAGAGACTGTCCCTCCGGTGACCCCAGGAGAGAGACAGCTCCTGACAGGTGAGCAGGAAACCAGTGCCAGCACGAGGAGGACCACAGACTCCCCGTATTTGGAATGGGGAGCCCCGTCCCAGCTGCACCCTGTGGAGACTCTTTTGTGGTTCCTTGGAGACCCGTGTGTGGGTTTTCTGGAGAACTACAGGGATCTGTGCAGCAGGTTAGGCCCCGGCCAGGGGCTGCATTGTGCGGTCTGTCACTTAGGCACTGAACTTGGCAGGAAGCTGCCACTGCTCAACGGGACCCCTGAGGACGCCCTCCCGCTCAGGGCTGCCTGGGCAAGTGCAAGTGCTCCTGTTGTAGGCACCCATCAGAGTTCTGGGGGCATCTGCTTCCACCTGGAGACAAAAGGAATCGTACCAGGGACACACAGGAAGGTCACGGAAATAGAGACAACTTGTTAAAAAAGAGAAAGGCACTCCCAAGAATGGGAGAGGGGTAGTGAGCTGGGGAGGGGCATGTGCTGAAAAGTACTGAGCCGCAAGCCACCCCGCCCCCACCCCGCCCCCACAGGTCATTTCCATGGCACCCACCTTCCTGCGCTTTTCTGGAGCATGATCTATTTAATACCTGTTGTCAAGGTGGGGAAGGGTTTCCAGTCCTTGACAACAGTCTTCACTCATATATGTCAATCTCTCTCTGTCTCTGTCTCTCTCTGTCTCTGTCTCTCTCTCACTCTCTGACTCTCTCTCTCTCTGCCCACCCCCCACTCCTGGCACATGTCTCCGTTTCGAAAGGTGCCCAGCCCCAATCTGTCCACGCTTCACCGGTCAAGCGGTCAAGCTGAGAGATAAGCAGACAGGGGGTGTCTCTGGGATGCCATGACACCACCTAAGGGTTTCTGTCTTTTCTAAAGCTCCCTGGGTAACTAGCAACTGAGGGTCACAGGTGCGACCAGAAGAAACAACATGGGGCAGGGCCCAG